TGATCATTTCAATCAAGTAAATAAAGAGTCGGGGTCTGGCGCCTGACTGATCACAACAGGGCATTAGAAAAGAAAAGTTGTGAGGAATGCCTCCGAGAGACTCTGTCGGGCTCATCCCTGGACATAGTAGGAGTATCTACGCTCGTCATCTGGGGTACCGCCCCCAACGCTGTCAATTGTGCGGCCATTGCCGCCATGGCTCTGGCCATCTCTGCCATCTGAGTCTGAAGGTGTAAAACGGTAGCCTCTGTATCAACTGACTGGGGAGACCCACGCACCTCGGGCTCTCCCTGCTCCTCACCGTCCTCGGGCTCTCTCTCCTCGTCCGAGTGACCTCGACAGGTAATCACACAGACTTTGTGTACTGGTAAGTCCTCGTCTGACTCATCCTCAAGTACGTCCTCCTCGGAGAAGGTCTGACGAAGTGCCTCTATGTGCGGACCTTGTGAATCATCAGGGGAAGCTACAACATCTACATCGCAAACCATCAGAACTGCCTCAGACCCGATAGGAGCAACTGCCTCTATCTACCCAACTGCCTTTGTCTCGATAGGGTTGTCCGCCTGTCGTTGTCTCCAAACCCACTTACTGTGGTGGGGCCCAGAAGGGGCAACTGGCTGCTGAGGGAACTACTGAAAGGATCTGAGCGCTGGTAGGCTCCAATCGCTGTCTGGCTCCACGACGACGACGGTGTCGTCCACCTCCAGGTGTAACTGTCTGTGGTCGGACTGTCAGAACTGAACTAACTGGCTGCCTAGGTGGCTGTCCTCTCTGCCATCTATACCTCTATCTCAAGGTCTGCCTTTGTAACTGAAAGGACGCCTGAGAGATCTGACGGAGTAACCTCTTTCGACTAATAGACCCTCGACCTCGCGCTAGGAGGACGATACTTCGAATCCTCTGAGAGAAGGTTAGGGCAGCATCGTCCTTGGGGGAACTAGCTCGAGGTAGAGCAATGGTAACAGGAGGGGTCGCCGCGATACGGACGACGTCCTCATCACCATTGTGTGCTAGTGCAGAGAAGCGTCCTCCCTGGATTGCTTCTATCTCATGCGCTACTACAACCTTTGGAGTAGGTGGAATTGACACTGGTCGTGGCTCCCACTACACGGGGACCACTCTCCTCTAAACAGGCTCCTAGTGAGCCAATGCCTCTGCCATCCTCAGTCTATTTACCTCAGACGCAGCCAAACACATTCTCCTATTTCTATTCCTCCGGGCCCTTCTCCCAAGGCCGGAGGTGGAGGAAGGGACATATGAACCCACTGCCTGGGTGACCGGGGGAACAGGAGCTACATGAACTATAGGAAGTGTCAGGGTCTGCTCGCAGTCTCGGGGTGAGAGAGCCTAGCGAACATAGAAGTCCGATGGGCAAAAGGTGAAGGAGCCTCGGTCTGGGCACCCCTCTTCCTAGAGGAAGGAGGGGGAACCCAAACTCGAGCTACATCCACCGGAATAATAGGAGTAGCAGCAACTGGCTGCCGGCGCTGAGGGGATGGAGCAGCCTACACAATAGGTACAGTAGGTAAAGGTTTCCTAACAACTGGACGAGTAGGAGGAACCAGGAGTGGCCTAGGCACTGACTGCCTAACTACAGGGCGCACTGGCTACGTAGGAAGGGGAGCGGGACGAGCAGGTGCTCGGGCTGTCCGCCGAGCCACTGGTCGTCCGAAGGGGCGCATGACTGCGTGTCCTCTCCTTTGAGGAGGAGAGAATGAAGCAGCCTCAGCCGGGGTCGGCTTGCTAAGAGTGACGAAAGCCGAGTTAATGAAGGAACCAAAAGTGATCCCTCCAATAGGGGGACAAGCCAACAGGGACTCAGAGAGAGTAATATGTGCGTCCAAGCCAAAGTAGAAAGTCACGGAAGAAGCACATGAAGCCATGCCTCTGCTGCCAAAAGAACATAGAATTGAAAAGATTAGTAAGAGTTGAGATTACGAGAGAAAAAGAGAATTGATAGGGTATGGAATGGTCTAGAAAGCTAGAAGGAAATGAACAATAGATAAGGGAGAACCCTAGCTAAGAAGAAAACCTAACTAAGAGTAGGACGAACCTAATTTAAAGAGTACCAATCATAGAGTACACACAAGAAAGAATAATATGAGATCCAAAGATGGAGAGAGAAACGAGTCCCACCGTGGCCGCTAGAAACTTGTGGACCTACGAAAGGACACCGCCGGCTGTAGAGTGCAGAGGGGTATACGAGTGCACAACCCTGAGGGATAGAGACGATCGCAGGCCTCCGCGCTCCTCGCAAACGGTTCAATGGAAGGGCAGATTAGATCATACATACGACTAACTATTGAGGATAGCGGCTCTCGCCAGCACACCCCGATGGATAGTAATATATACGACCTGATCAAAACAATGGATTTTCCCCACCCGATACATCAGCTCGAGAGGTTTATTTGATGTGGAATTCCGTTTCCCACGGGAGCTCCCATGGTTAATTACATCTCGGGCCAGAACTCAAGAATACTCTCGATTAAGTATCCAATATTATTCTTCCCAGACTAGGGAGGATTGGCACACAAAGGGAGACTAAGAAATCATACTCAAAAGGAAAGAAGGATTTCAAATGGCTTAGTCAACAGGCAGGGTTCATACCAACATCTGGAGGGACTAAGGCAGTAATGAGAGAAAGATAATCACACACTCAAAGCATACAGAGAGGAATGATAGAAGTAATGTCATCATGTGACGCGGATAAGCAGGATTTATAATCCTTGAAGAAAAGAAACTTATCCACTATTTAGGCGTACTACGAGACACCAGTGTAGTAGCCTTGAATCCTAGATCTTTGGTGGGATTAGTGTTCGTCTAATACTAACACCCGTGTTTTAGCTAATGCACCTGAGCTTATACCCTGCCTGAAGAGGGAAGCTATGAAATTGATTTGAAATCAAATGGAAGGAAATTGAGTCAACCTAGGTTGACCTAGTCAACCATGTTGACCCAAGGCCTGGGTCTGAGCTCAACAGACTCAGGTTGACCCACTGAATTGATTAGGGGGGGTCTTGGGGCCTGGCCTGGTCAAATTGACCAAGTCAACCCTTTGACCCAAGGGTTGGAGAAAAACAGGGTCAACAAAGTGCAAGAGAAGAAGATGCATGTGATTTTTCAAGAGATACCAAGAGTTGTTTTAGCTTATTAATATATTCTTTTTTGAGTTCTCTGAAGCTGGATTGCATTTATGAGGTGGGCTCATTTGTTGTAGTGTTAGGTTATGATGTGCCTTTTTATCTACTTCTATGGTTCCACTCCTTATCAAGGGGGCTTTTCATGTATCTTCCGGCATGTATTATTTGTCTGTCTTGATTTCTTGTAATAGTTACACCAAAGGGAGTCTTTGTTTTTTAAATTTTGAGGAATTGTTACCTTTTTTCTTCCATGGCGCCTCTTTGGTTGTCACAATTCTAAACCTTAAATAACTTTTGGCTCCAGCATCACCTCTCATCGGCTTTCTTCAGCACGAATGAGATAAATGGTCTCATTTAATGAAGATTTGTACTCTTTGCCAAGGATCTAAACTCTAACCTGATCAAACTCCGTATTTAGTTGTGCAAGAAAGACATACACTCTATCTTTATCAATAAAATTTTTCAGGATAGCAGCTTCTTCTGGATACTTGGTCTCTATGCATTTATAGTGATCAAGTTCTTGCCACAAGCCTTGAAGGAGAGTGGCATATTACGTTACAGTTTTGCTTCCTTGTTTTGTGCTTCTCAACTTGACCTTAATTTCGAAGATTTGGGCATCATCCCGAGCATTTGAGAAGGTTTGCCTGGTGGCATCCCATATTTCATTTGCAGTAGATGGGAACATAAATATATCACTAATTTTTGGAGTCATAGATTTCCACAATCATGAAGTTCGCTTCATCCCATGCCCAAAAATTAGGATCTACTTCTCTTGGTCCTACTCTAAGGAGGTGATTCATCTTTCATTTTCCTTTCATTTAAGTCTTCACAAATTGGGACCAATTCATATAGTTCTTCTCATTTAAGCGAATGGAATGTTGCATATTTTGGAGATCTCTTTCTTGGTGCACCATAGAATCTTCAATTTGATCAAAGCTCTAGGTGGAATTAACTTTAGACATTACAGTGTCAAATGGTAGCAATGAAAGCTTTCTGCAAGATATTGGGTAGCAATAAAGGCTACCTGGAACTATACCCTTAGAATTCTGGCAACGACAATGAAGGTCAATGCTTGTTGAGTAAATAAAGATCTATTGCAGCTTCTGTTTGGTTTGCACGAGCAGGTTTCCAAGGTAGGCCTGATCCGCCCCACTCTAGGTCACACGCACAAGTGGATAGAACACCCTCTCAATTTTAGCCCCCTCTCGATTCCTCTGGACAAGACGTGCGCACGAACCGATTGCCTAGACGTGAGCGCGGGAGCCTTGGGCCGCACACCTCTTGTCCGATCCTTCCTGAACTGGTCACATGTACGAGTTGCATGTGAGGAGCCTCTCCTCTCATTCTCGACCTGTTCCCATCTGCTCGGCTGGATGCACCCACACAGGAAGTTCCTGCTCGATCTCTGCTTCTTCTGGTCGTAGGCACAAAATAGAGGATTTGGACAGTTTGACTCTCGTTCGATTTCCAATGGCAATGAAGGCCTCTTGCTCCTCTCCGCTTTCTATGATTCAAGGCTCTTATACCATGTTAAATTAAGAGATTGGGAGAGGGAAAATGATTAATTTTATTGTTACAAGATATCTTAATACAAGAAACAAATAATAGCAAAATCATGCATAATTACTCTAACATAATCCTTCCTAAATCAGCCACCTAAATATGAAAGGAGATCGGCGTGATTTAGTTGAATCTCCCACGGATCCCCATACTAGCTGTGGGATCAAATGCCAAGGGATGCCCCGGGGTTTAACAGTAACTTGTAAATCAACAAATAAATCTTCCATAGAAGGATCATTGGAATATATGCTTTTAAAGATTATATTTTGTGAAGTCAGACAAACATCTCATGATTACTGATTTATTTGATCCTTGTGAAGAGATGGCATCAGCTTATGGGACACCAGGACTTGGTTGTGTGTTGAGTAAGAGTGGCCACATTACTGCAACCAAATTATGCAACACTAGTTTCTTCCCTGGATTTCAAGCAACAAGGCAAGCCTCAAAATTCTTGGAGAAGGAAACATGCCACACTTTTATGAGCTGCAGTGCGAGAGCTACTCTGACCTTTGACCCTTCAACTGAACCCTCAAAGCTAAAAGAGAGGAGACACACCCTTGATCCAGCTGCTCCAGATTTCCTTCCACTTCCATCCTTTGAAGAATGCTTTCCAAAGAGCACGAAGGAGTACAGGCATGTGTTTGATCAAATTTTCTGTTTATACAATCCGCCACATTGATTGTGGAAATGAATTTTTCATTATAAACACAGCAATATTATTTATTTATTCTCTATTTTGAAAATACACACAGTATACGCTGGTAATTATTTTGCAGGGAAGTTGTTCATGAGAAAACTGGCCATGCCTTCAAGGTGCCATTTCGACGTGTCCATCTCTCAGGGATGGAAAAATACTTTGATACATATGATACTAGTGGTCCGCAAAATATGAACCCTCGTGTAGGTGAGTATGCTCTCATTTAGTGCGATTTTCCTGATGCAATGCTTGCACTGGCATAGATGCATGCATCTGTGCCCGCACATGCACACAATAAGAGTGCTAGGGAACAATGCTTACCTTATTCCAGAGATATGTTATTATAATGTTTTCTCTTTGAAGTATCAATTCATGGCCAGTACTTTAGTGGCATGATGTCTGAGAATTTAGTCCAACTGGCAGACAACATTTTAATTACATTGATGATGGTTTTTTAAGAATACATATTTACAACGTTTGAAATTCGATCAACTTAATACAGCTTTGTGCACCTCATATACAATCTGCGTTTTTTTTTTTGTGTTTTATGCCGACCAAAAGTCATTTCTAGTTACTATTAATATCAAAGCTTCTGTTAGTTGATGATGTTGAATCTATTTTTAATCATTTTCAGGTCTTCCCAAGATCCGGAAAGATTGGATTGACCAAAGAGAGAAGCTAGATGAACCCAGATGCACACAGATGTATTATGCTAAGAAGGGAATCATTACAGAAGAAATGCTGTTCTGTGCCACTCGTGAGAATCTTGATCCTGAATTTGTGAGGTCTGAGGTTGCTCGTGGAAGAGCTATCATCCCCTCCAACAAGAAACACCTGGAATTAGAACCAATGATTGTCGGTAGGAACTTCTTAGTCAAGGTGAATGCTAATATTGGTAACTCTGCTGTTGTGAGTTCTATTGAGGAAGAGGTACATAAGCTTCAATGGGCCACTATGTGGGGTGCTGACACGGCCATGGATCTGTCAACTGGTCGCTACATCCATGAGACTCGTGAATGGATTCTTCGGAATTCTGCTGTGCCGGTTGGAACTGTTCCAATTTATCAAGCATTAGAAAAAGTGAATGGCATTGCAGAAAAACTTACATGGGAAATTTTTAGAGATACTCTTATTGAACAGGCAGAGCAGGGCGTTGATTATTTCACCATCCATGCTGGTGTGCTGCTTCGCTACATTCCTCTTACAGCAAAACGAATGACTGGCATTGTTTCACGAGGAGGATCTATTCATGCAAAATGGTGTCTAGCTTATCACAAAGAGAACTTTGCATATGAGCATTGGGATGATATCCTTGACATTTGCAATCAGTATGATGTGGCACTGTCTATTGGTGATGGACTTAGGCCTGGTTCTATATATGATGCTAATGACAGTGCACAGTTCGCAGAGCTTTTAACACAGGGTGAGCTCACACGCAGGGCTTGGGAAAAGGATGTGCAGGTATTTTAGATGTGTATGAATTGATTTGGTTATTTACTCCCTTCCAGTTTTAATATTTATTTCTCCATATTATTCAATAATCTATAAGTCATCAGTTTGATTGATTTTAATGAGCTATGAAAGATGTACTAGATATAGATGTGTGCATCTATGATCTTCATTTATCAACTTATGTTAACCGCTTTAAGGATAGTTGTCAGTTATGTATCTATCACTAAATATCAGATGTGCCTTGCTTGTCTTTTGAGTTCTTAGTTAATTTTCTACCATTACAGAAATATAGTTCTTATCAATGGGTTGTTTGGTTGATAATGGTAACACAGTCTACATTTTTATGCTGGAAGTAAAAGAGTTACTAATAGCTAACAATAACAATAATAACATGCCTTTATCCCACAACGTGAGGTCGGCCAAATGAATCATTTTTCTCCATTGTGTCTTATTAAATCTTAAATTCTCATTGAAATCTAATTAAAAATATCATTTTTCATTTTTAATAATTTCTAACTAAGTTTTTTAGGCCTATATCTATCTTTCTTGATAGAGGTCTGATCTAATACATCTACTCTTCTAGTAGGGTCATCGAAAGGCCGATGTTTTATGTGACCTAACCATTGAAGATAACTCTCTCTAATCTTATCGACCACCGTAGCTACTCAATCTTTTCACATATATACTTGTTTCACATTCAGTCTCTAAGTGTAAAACCACTCATCCATCTAAGCATCCTCATCTCTACTGCACATAACTTAATTTTATGCTTCTCTTCTAATGGCCAACATTTTGTGCCATAAATAATTGCAGTTCTAAAATTTTCTCTTACGTTTGAAGAATACTTCCTATCACACAACATGCAACATGCATTCATCCACTTCAACCATTCAACTTGAATTTTACTAATAGTATCCTCACCTATTTCACCATTTCTTTGAACAACAGACCCGAGATATCTAAAACATGCATTCTTTTTAATGATTTGATCACCCAATGTCACAATCCCACAATTATATTACTACTAAAATTACACTATGTATTCGGTTTTAAATCCACTCAACCGAAAACTTTTAGACTCTAAGGTTAACCTTCATAATTCACGTTTTTCATCTAATCGCTCTCTAGTTTATCAACAATAAGAATATCATCAGTGAAAAGCATATGTAAAGGTATAACCTCATACAAGTGTCTAGTAAGAACATCCATGACTGAAGCAAAAAAGACATGGGCTTAAAGTTGATCCTTGATGTAATCTAGCTCAAATAGGAAAATACTTTGTTAAACCATCTTGTGTTTGAACACAGGTAACAACTCCTTTATACATATCCTTAATGAATTAATTATAAGCTTTATCAAGTCCATTCTTTTCTAGAATCTTCAGAGCACATCTCTTAGACCTGTATCATATTTAAATGCAGTGAATGTGGGACTTGCTAATAATTGTTCACCATTTGGCTAGTGATGCCTTCAGTTGTATAGGCTTATTGCTATATGTGCAACATCATAGTTTATATATTCCTTCGTTCTTTAAGAGATGTTCTTTAAGTTATTTAAGAGATGTTCTTTAATGATGCTTTGATCTAGGATGGTCAAGGGTCCAGGGTTTCTAATGTAACTTATTTTAGTGAAAATTTGTCGTATTTATTGTATGGATAACAAACATATTCATTCCACAAGATAATGCAGCAATTGCCTGAAATTTGAAATTTCACAAGAAAATAACAGTAAATGATTAAATTCAGCTAGTAATTGATTCAAACTTAAGAAGAAAATTGGGCATACATCTCACTTGAAAAAAATTTAATCACCGCACTAAACCAACGTACTAATTAATTAAAATTGCAAGAATAACAATAAAAGTCACTAAAAAAGGAACAACTAGGCTCCACTGCTTTGTAAGTAGTTGCCCAACCTATGAAGCACTCTTAAGTACACATATTTGTTGACCTCGGTCCCAAAAAAAAAAAAAAAAATCACAAAATCTCATACCTGTCCAATCACACGTCATGGCCATCCTGCGCACGTTCGACGTCGCATCCTATCATACCCTATGCACGTCTTCACCATCGTTAAAAGGGCAAATTATTGGGTCAGGTGACCGAAGCCATCTCTCCGTTCGGTCGCCAATAAAAATGCGACATCTGTAGGAAGGGAGCTCCCTTGCTGTAAAGTTAACTTTCTCCCCTACATGGACTTCTTCGGCCAAATCATGTAAATCCTGTGGTCCATCAAGCCCTTAGGGCAAGAAATGAGGGAAATAGAGGATTCATTCCACCGAGAGTTTTACGGGATGCTCGAATCCTGTATACCCAAAGCCATTTAGCCCACGGCTTAAGTTTTAATCTAATTATAATTAATTATAGTTAAACTATAGTTAATTTTAAATTAGATATAATTAACTTATAATTAACTTTAAATTGAATATAATTAATTAGATATCATTATTTATACTTAATTTATCATTAGTTATAAATTAAAATAATTAATTCTAAATTAATTATAAGTAATTAGAAATAATTAATTATAAATTAAAATAATTGATTTATGATTAATTTTAGATTAATATAATTAATTTTATATTAAAATATAATTAATTATAATCAATCTTTAATTACTTATAAATCTAATTAATTCAATAATTAATTATGGATTAGATATATTTAATTATATGTTAAGTATGATTAATTATAAATAATTTATAATTAACTATAAAATTAGTAAGCTTGCCCTCGGCGTGTGTGACGAGCCGGTCAACCACACATACACGCTTTTCTTAGCGTGGTAGGAGGGAACTCGGTGCGACACCTACGACGAGGCAGGTAAGTAATCATCGACCCCAAAATCCTATTCTCGGCGTTCGTGTCGAGCCAGCAAACCGTCATACACGTCTTTCTCTAGCGTGGTGGGAAGGAAACTCGGTGCGAAACCTAAGACGAGGCGGGTAGGCCTGATGCACGCTTTTCTTAGCATGATTGGGATAACCTTAAGTACCCGTACATGGCTCTGTACCTACGGGGAAACAACTATTTTTCTTTGGCAACAGGTACCGAAGACCCATACACACTTTTCTCTGGCGTGGTGGGATTGAAGATTTCACGGCCGCGATATCTAATGACACATACCATATATGCTTTTCTCTAGTGCGGCGAGAGGCCCAGTTTCCTGTAGTTTCCTCTAAACAAGGGAGACGTCGGGAGGCTGCCGAAATTTCGAGTGAACAGAAGACCGCACTTGGACTTGATTGAACTCAAAGGACATGAATTAGGACTCAATTTGAATTCAAATGAATGCACTACAAAGACATATTTGAACACAAATCAAATGACTAATCAAGACTTGAACCTAAATAAAATAAGTTCGAATTTGAACTTGATTTGAATATTAAGTGAATATGACTTGGGTAATTTTGACTCAAATATAAATGGACAAGACTATGCTTGGACATTGAACATGAATTGGAATTGAACTCAAGCAAAGAGTTTGTACTTTGATTACAAAACACTTGGGCTCGAATTAAGAAGGGAACTACAATGAGCATGAACTTGCAAACTTTTGAACATAAGAGGATTTACAAATTTGGACTTTAGCTTGATGTGAACTGAATATAAGAACTTGCAAGGACTTATGAACTTAGACTTGATTTGAATCAAGCCTTCAGTGCACTCAGATGAATGTTGATGAACAAGTGAACTTGTGATATAGCTTTCTTGCAAGCATGAGTCAACGAAAATCAAAAGGGAATGCAATAGTACGAGTGAAGATGATTGTACAAATTTATTAACAAATGAATAATATGAAACTCATAGTGCTCAAGTCAATCAATATATGAGAAAGAAAAAGGGAACTATAATACAAGTGTTCATCCCAAAGGTAAAAATCACGGACTTGTAATAGCATTAACCATCATCCTACAAGTATATACAAGGAGGCCATGATGAATAAAATGAACTCCCACAACTATTCCTATGAGGTCAAATGTATTGTACTTGCAAGCAATAATAGTCATGTGTAAAATGCACGAGTATCTCCCACATGTATTTATGAAGGCCTTGATGCAAGCGAAAATTCGCCAGTAGAGTGAAAGAACAGTGTTTACAAGTAGTGGTAAAGGGCCTGTTATGCACACAACAGTTCATATAAAGACAACAAAAATTGAAAATGGCAATGTATTGTAGCCAACATTAATAGTTCACATGCAACTGAATACCCTATACTTGCAAGCGATGACAATTGACTGTGGAATGTACGAGTGTTTCTTACTTGCATCAACGAGAGCCTCAACACAAACAACAGTTTGCCTGTGAATTGAGATGGCATTACTGACAATTTATAATAGAAGATCCGTCCTTGCAAACAAGTACATCAAACCACCTAAGATTGATGAAAGGTGGATATGATGCATGAACAATAGTTCTTCTACGAACACCTCCAGGAGGTCATAGTGAATACAACTGGTCTCTTTAAATAAACATGAGCCACTTGTGGATAACAACAGTGGGTATATCGTAAGTATAACGAACTCTTGTAGACGCAAGTACATATATCACCTACAACAACAGTGATTGAGATTTGCGAGTACGTCGGGTATGAAGACAACTCGATGTACGGAGAAGGACACCTCCTGGTAGAATGGAATAAATGTTTGAACAAATTCGAATTAAACTTGTTGGTGTTCCAAAATTTCTTCTTGGTCATATACTTAGGAAGAAAATAGTTCTGACATCCATAAACACTAGAAGTGACAAAAGCACTCAGATACCTCTATTCATTTTGAAGGCCAATTATGTGGTTATGGATGTTACATCTTGTAGAAGCCTTATACGTTATAGATCTTGAAAAGAGTTCTTTTTAAGGTAGTGGTCACGAATTTCAAGAAGGACCTCCCGGTGAATGAGAAAAGGGGAGTCAACATCAGGATGATGAGGTGTCTCATGACATCCAGATAATACCTCCACCGGATCCACAACATCCATGCAAGCAGACAGAAGACATTTATAAATATTTAAAAAACATACTCCCGCACATGCACTGTAATTTGTATACACATAGATACATAAAAAGGGGTAAGTGCAATCATACACCCACATGGGCCCCGGCGAGCATGTTATAAGTACACACGTGACGTCTAGGGATGCTGCGCGGGTCAATATGTAAATTCAAGTTCAAACTCGATCCTTTTATGCGGGTTAATAGGAACTGACAGGGTTCGAACCATCAAACAAATATACGGTGGTGGCGATCGATATATTTGTCTTAATACATTCATATTAGGCCTTCAAGGCCTATATTCAAGAGAATTCACTAATAAAAACATAAAGCCTATGAAACCTGGTCATCCGAAGCGGGTAAAATAGGAATTGACAGGATTCGAACCACCAATTAAATATACAGTGGTGGCGACTGGTATATTTTTCTTAATATATTCATATTAGGCCTTCAATGCCTATAATCAAGATAATTCACTAATAAAAGGCATAAAGCCTATGAAAATCGATCCTTCTATACGGATCAATAGGAGTCGACAGGGTTTGAACCATCAAACAAATATACGTTGGTGACGACAAGTATATTTGTCTTAATACATTCATATAAGGCCTTCAAGGCCTATAACAATGATAATTCACTAATAAAGACATGAAGCCTACGAAACCTGATCATCTGTAATACCTATGATAATATATTTTCAAATTCCCATGAAATTTAAAGCTCCATAGAAAATCTCAAAATCATCAAATCCAAATATTTAAAATTGAAATAATTCATCAAACCTCTAAAAGCAAAATTCATTTACCATCCGCAACAGTTTGTCAGGTGGACAAATTGAAATTTACTTTAGCTCATATAGAGATAATGCATAGTCGAAAATATCACTAAGATCCATTCTCAAAGTCTTCTGCTAGAAAGAACGTGGTACGTGTCATCTTACCGGCAGTTTCGCCGCCAAACAACACTGCATGATAAACGGTTATGACCCAGGGTTCTCTGAGCCGAGTGGTTTTGCCGCCAAATGGCTCAACTAGATACTGGTTATGGCCAGAGCCAATACGCTCCTTAGTGGCATCAAATTCTTGAGATACGAATCAATATGATATAATCGATATGACACAAAACCCTCTGTTAGCTAAGGTGGATTCAAATTTGTCCCCTTAGACAAAAATTCACCCTAGGTCTATAAGGTACCCTTGGACGAAACAACCCATGGTTGCTGACAAGGATCCTTCTGTCAAGTTGGGTTGACTACCTCCTCTGACTAATTAGACCAGGGACCACAATGGTCTGGGATAGGGGTGTAAACGAGTCGAGTCGAGTCGAGTTTTGGCCCTTATCGAGCTTGGCTCGTTAGATAGATAGCGAGCTCGAACTCGAGCTCGAGCTCGAGTGGAGCTCGACAGTCGAGCTCGAACTCGAGCTCGTGTCACTATTAACGAGCTCGAGCCGGCTCGCCAGCCATGGGCGGGAATTTTTAAATTTAGGCGGGATTTTTCAAAAATTTTAAAATTAGGCGGGATTTATAAACTTTAAGCGGAATTTTTAAAACTTAAACAAAATTTTTATAAAAATATGAAATATTTCACTTTTAAATAAAATTTAGGTGATTATTACTATAATTTTTTAATATTTAAATTTAATAAATAAAATAAATTATTTTTAAAAATATTAATATTTAATCGAGCCGGCTCACGAGCCAAGCCGGCTCGAGCTCGAGCTCGAGCTCGTTTACTAAACGAGCTTGAACTCGAGCTCGAGCTTGACTCGTGAGCTCGATAAGCTCAGCTCGCGAGCTCATAAACGAGTCGAGCTCGAGCCGGCTCTTACACCCCTAGTCTGGGACGAGGGAACCATAGGATCTTGATTGAGTTCATCATCTATTCCTCCACCATCCGCTTTAAGTGAAAGATGGTGAAAATTTCAATTTTAAACATCAAACCTTCAAATCCTCATGCCCATGCTTCTACTATATGCCATATAATATATATTTCTATGTATCTAATTAATGACTAGCCTTAATCGAAAGTTAGCTCTCGTTATCGAGAGGGGTAATTAACTATAGGGGCTTGCGCCTATAGGAAACCAGAACTCAAATCATAAAGTCCTCATAAAATGAGGGTGAAATCTCTGGGTTATCTACAAACCCATCTGTCTTCCAAAATTTACCCAAGAACTTAATTCGTTAAAACTCCCTCGAAGAAAAAGCGCAGCGGGTCCGGGGCCGAATTTTCGGAGCCCACAATATTTAACACATACTTGTAAGAAAGAAAAACTGAAATTGTATTTCAATATTGATTGATTAGTGGTTTTCTTATATGCCTCAAGGGCTCCTCTTTATTGGCCTAAAAGGACCCAAAATAAGAAATTATGAAAATTTTCAAGATCTCCTCAAGACAATAGATTTAAATACATTTAGCAGGAATTTCAAACCTTGCCTAAAATTTCTATTGGGAGATTGGTGAAACTTATGCATACATAGAGTGAAAAAATAAAAAAAGATCAACGCACAAAAGTACACTGAGAATTTTTTAAAGATTCACTCAATTGATGACTGCGCCTCATTGCTGCTGTATTAATTTTATTATGAATTGATTGTAAAGAATTACGAAGCTATTTCTGCAGTAGAACATAAGATGACTTTTCCTCAAAAAAATCTAGGGAAGAAAGCATAAAACAAAATTCCTACCTGTCCTACAACTAAATTCTGCATTATGCAATTTTTTCATTGGATAGATACTGCCATAAAAACACATCGACAATAGAAAAAAAATCTGAGGGAAATAATGGAAACAACAACTACATATTGGAACTAATAGAGTACATGGTAGAAGTATAGCTATCACTTTGCTTTTTGGTAATGATTCCAACTCCATGGGTGTTGATTGGAGTTCCATGGGCTGTTAGCTGAAATCATGCAGTGAATAGCTACTCGTAGCAATTTTTTTCAAATACTAGATAACACACACTGGTCGTATAGGAGCTGACCTAATAGCAGGTTTTTACATAGAATAACTAAAAAAACAAAGCATAATGATGCAGAATCATTTAAATCAACACTTTCCATGGTTAGGACGTGTTTTTCCTTTCGGTTTTCTTTCTTGCCCATTTTGTTTTCCAATTCTTTGATCATATGCCTCTGCGTAATTAAGCGGTTAACATTTTCAACAGAATTATTACTTTGTCATTCATAACGATTTCTGTGGTGGTTTTGAAATTGTATCGGGTTCTGCTGTTGATTCTTTAGGTGATGAATGAAGGTCCAGGACATATCCCTATGCACAAAATTCCCGAAAATATGGTTAAACAGTTGGATTGGTGTAACGAGGCTCCATTCTATACACTAGGTCCCTTGACAACTGATATTGCTCCTGGATATGATCATATTACCTCAGCCATTGGAGCAGCCAACATTGGTGCCCTTGGAACTGCACTTCTTTGTTATGTCACACCTAAAGAACACCTAGGGCTGCCAAATCGTGATGATGTGAAAGCAGGTGTTATATCATACAAGATAGCTGCCCATGCTGCTGACTTGGCGAAATGCCATCCCCATGCACAAGCATGGGATGATGCACTAAGCAAAGCGAGGTTTGAGTTTAGATGGTTGGATCAGTTTGCTTTATCATTGGATCCTATGACTGCCATGGCCTTCCATGATGAGACACTTCCGTCCGAGGGTGCCAAGGTTGCACATTTCTGTTCAATGTGTGGACCTAAGTTCTGCTCTATGAAGATAACAGAAGATGTTCGCAAGTATGCTGATGAGCATGGATATGGAACACCCGAGGAAGCTTTGAAGCAGGGCATGGAATCTATGAGTGCTGAATTTCTTGCTGCCAGCAAAACTATCAGTGGAGAGCAGCATGGTGAAGTTGGTGGGGAGATCTATGTGCCTGAAGGCTATGCCACACGCCAGTAAAAGGTAGGCTGTAGTTCAAGTTATTCTTTGACTTATTTCGTGAAGATATGCTTTATTTTCCAGTGTGTTTCACATACTTTGGGCTTCTGGCTTGTGGATAGTTATCTTTAAGGCTCAATGTGGTGAGAAAGTGAGTCTCTGAGAGTTCAAATTCTGATATTCCCATAACTGCAAATTAATCATTTTACATTTATAAACTAATCAGTGTCATTTGCATTTAATACTTTAATATAACTATATTAGGTTTTAAAGAATGACGTGTCATGTTATATGGTAGATGGATGATACTATCAATGTATGCAATTAATATCAATTACCCTCTATGAATTATGGATGGTTAGATCTGCTCTTTGTATGTTACCTCACCAATCTATGTACTTTAGGATGTCTCCTCATCAGTTACTGTGCGCTAATTTATTGTAATTAAAATTTTAGTTCCAGATTTTGTATATTTTCTATTAACTCATTTAGGGTTGTATACATATAGGTCAAAGGATGGAATAAACTCAAGCAGTTTTGGGCACAACTTTGTTTGTTATTGTTTGGGGAAGTAAAACATGCATATATCACAAACAAGAAAGATATAATACAGCTGAAATAAAGAACACTAGGTTTTAACATGAAAAATCTGTAACTGGGAAAAAATCACGGAGCTACGCCACATTAAGAAATTCAACATAAAAATTTGGGAGAAATAGTATAGATCTCTCTTCTACCTCACTCTCCTTAATTCTTTTCACCCTTGCACTGTTATCACACTAGAATATACAAAGCGAAACATACAAAACCACTAAGGGACGCAACCCTTAATGAAAAATGAGAAAGAAAATTTTCAGCCCGTCTCGCAGCGCCTCGACACTCTACTCTTTGTCTTTAGTCTGCTTGACAGCACCGTAATGCCTCCTTGGCAACGATGCAACGCTTCACTCTGTCTTTCTCCAAAAAAACTATACAATGTCGGGGCATTTGGGTACACAGTGCCGTAACATTGTACAATTGTACAAATTTTTTTTTAAGTGCAAAGCACCCAAACCCAAGCAGGGGAGGACCCCCTGCAACCCCTCAATGAGTTTAATAGACTTAATTGAGGTCTGATGCATTCGTATAAACCAATTGATCAACACAATTAGATTCCACATAGAACTAATAATCTCTTACTTGGAAACTAATTGTAATCAATCATTCTCCCCATCTGTAACACCATTCATAGTACATGTAGCATGTCTCACCCCTACTCTAATCCTTTATAAAGGCCAAATTAAGCTACACAGCTTCAACATCAATTGTCATTATCTTTGCCAGTAGGGGTGTCAATTTGAACCCGACCCGTTTTTCAAACGGGTCGATTTTTGGAACCCGAACCCGACCCGGTTCGGGTTGACCCAAACCCGAAATTTTCGGGTCGGGTTCGGGTCGGGTTTTCGGGTCGGGTCAAATGTTGACAGCCCTATTTGCCAGCATGTTTGCAAGATTCCGGGTCTTATAAATCTTCTTTAAAGATAACTGACCATCTTCTAAAAGCAATATGATGAAATGATATCAAAATTGGATGTTCTTTGTCCTAGAATGGAATGCCATATTCTTAGCTAGATGAATAGCACTTATGCTGTCAGTATGCAACTTCCCATTCCTTTTGCCAAGTTCTGCGAAGAAACTTTACAACTATATCATCTTCTTGCTAGCCTCAGTGATAGCAATATACCCAACTTCTATGGTTGCAAACGTAACAATTTTTTGTAACTTGGAAACCCAACTTGTTGGGGATGAGAGAGTAAAACACCGCAATGAAACAATGAAGAAAGTAAAAGCAACGGAAAGTAAAGGACGCCAATATTTAATGTGGGAAAATTCAAATTATGGAAAAAACCACGGAGTCACACCACACCAAGAAATCCACTATGAAAATTAAGAGAAATAAGTACAAATCTCTCTTCTCTCTCACTCTCTCCTTGTTTATTTTCTCACATATATCATTCTCAATGTCGACATACAAGAAATATAAGAGAAAGTAAGTTATATCCACCAAGGCACGCAACCCTTGAAAAAAACAAGAAAGAAAACTGTTCAGTCTATCTCACAGCACTAGTTTGGAGCGCTATAGCGCTCAAGCCTCTATCTGATGATGTTGTAGCGCTCAAACTCGCAACCCTACGGTGTCGAATCTAGAGCGTTGTGATGCTCTGCTCTCTGTCGATCAGTGCTGGGGCGCTTGGGAACACATCACTGAGGTACACATCGCCGATGCATTGTACCAATTTTTTTTTTCAATGGTAAACCAAAGCAGGGGTAAACCCCCGCACCCCTAGTAAGAACAACAAACTTGAGGTCCGAGGCAATAGAACAATCCGATTGATCAACACAATCAGATTCCACACATAATATAGCTCACCGTTGTCTTTCCCAAAGTGAAGATATAACCAGTTGTGTTTCTCCTACCATTAAGATCTCCAACAAGATAAGAATCTACATACCCCTATAGATCAATCACTGCATCTCCAAAGTTAAGAGCTTTGTCAATTGATTATCTCAAGTACCTGAGAATCCACTTAACTGACTCCCAATAAAGTTTCCAAGTATGCTGATGAGCATGGATATGGAACACCCGAGGAAAGCTTTGAAGCAGGGCATGGAATCTATGAGTGCCGAATTTCTTGCTGCCAGCAAAACTATCTGTGGAGAGCAGCATGGTGAAGTTGGTGGGGAGATCTATGTGCCTGAAGGCTATGCCATACGCCAGTAAAAGGTAGGCTGTAGTTCAAGTTATTCATTGACTTATTTCGTGAAGATATGCTTTATTTTCCAGTGTATTTCACATACTTTGGGCTTTTGGCTTGTGGATAGTTATCTTTAAGGCTCAATGTGGTGAGAAAGTGAGTCGCTGAGAGTTCAAATTCTGATATTCCCATAACTTTCAAATTAATCATTTTACATTTATAAACTAATTAGTGTCATTTGCATTTAATATTTTAAGATAACTATATTAGGTTTTAAAGAATGACGTTTTATGTTATATGGTAGATGGATGATACTATCAATGTATGCAATTAATATCAATTACCCTCTATGAATTATAGTTAGATCTGCTCTTTGTATGTTACCTCACCAATCTATGTACTTAAGGATGTCTCCACATCAATTACTGTGCGCTAATTTATTGTAATTAAAATTTTAGTTCCAATTTTTTTATATTTTCTATTAACTCATTTAGGGTTGTATACATATAGGTCAAAGGATCGAATAAAACTCAAGTAGTTTTGGGCACAACTTTGTTTGCTATTGTTGGAGGAAGTAAAACATATAGCGAACACAAACAAGAAAGATAAAATGCAGCTGAAATAAAGAACACTAGGATTTAACGTGAAAAATCCGAAATCGGAAAAAAATCACGGAGCTACACCACACTAAGAAATTTACCATGAAAATTTGGGAGAAATAGTATAGATCTCTCTTCTATCTCACTCTATCCTTAATTCTTTTCACCCTTGCACCATTCTCACACTACAACATACAAAACCACTAAGGGACGCAACCCTTTATGAAAAATGAGAAAGAAAATTGCCAGCCCGTCTCGCAGCACCGCGACACTACTCTCTGTCTTCAGTCTGCTTGATAGCATTGTAATGCCTCCTTAGCAACGACACAGTTCTTCGCTCTGTCTTTCTCCAAAAAAAAAAAAACTATATAATGCCGGGGCATTTGGGTACACAGTGCTGCATCACTGTATAATTGTACGATTTTTTTTTTAGTGCAAAACACTCAAACCCAAGCAGGGGGAGGACTCCTTGCAACCCTTCAATTAGCTCAATAGGCTGAATTGAGGTCTGATGGATTAGTATAAACCGATTGGTCAACATAATCAGATTCCACACAGAACTAACAATCTCTCACTTGGAAATTGATTGCAATCAATCATTCTCCCCATATGTAACACCATTCATAGTACATGTAGCATGGCTCAACCCTACTCTAATCCTTTATAAAGGCCAAATGAAGCTACACATAGCTTCAGTTTATCAACTGTCATCATCTTTGTTAGCATGTTTGTAGGATTCTGGGTCTTATAAATCTCCTTTAAAGATAATTGACCATCTTCTAGAAGTGATCTGATGAAATGATATCGAAGCTGGATATTCTTTGTCCTGGCATGGAATGCCACATTCTTAGCTAGATGAATAGCACTTATGTCAGTGTTCAACTTCTCATTCCTTTGCCTTTTGCCAAGTTCTGCGAAGAAACTTTGCAACTATACCATCTCCTTGCTAGCCTCAGTGATAGCAATATACCCAACTTCTGTGGTTGCAAACACAACATTCTTATGTAACTTGGAAACCCAACTTTAGGTCTGAGGCAATAGTGATTAACACCATCAGGTTCCACAAATAATATAACTCATCGTTGTCTTTATCAAAGTGAAGATGTAACCAGTTGTGCTTCTTCTACCATTAAGATCTCCAACAAGATCAGAATCTACATACCCCTATATATCAATCCCTGCATCTCCAAAGCAAAGAGCTTTGTCAGTTGATCCTCTTAAGTACCTGAGAATTCACTTAACGGCCTTCCAATGAAGTTTATCTAAGTTACTCATAAATCTGCTGACTACTCCCACTACATATGATATATCTGGTCTCGTATAGATCATAACATAAATCAAACCTCCAACTACTGAAGCATACATAGTCCTCTCCATTTGTGCTTGCACTGCTTCATATGTAGGTGATTGTTCCTTAGATAGTTGAAAATGATTATCCAAGGGAGTGTAAACTGACTTTGTCTCAGTCATGTTAAATCTTTGCAGTACATTTTCAAAATACTCAGCTTGAGACAGCTTCAGTATACTCGCTCTTCTATCTCTACTTATTCTCATATCGAGAATTTTCTTTGTTGGACCCAATTCTTTCATTTCAAACTCCTTTGATAACTACTTCAAACATCTTATCTTCTCCATATCTTACCCTGCAATCAATATGTCGTCTATATACAAAAGAAAAATGATATAACATTTATCAAAATATTTGATGAAGCAACAATGATCTATCTGGTACTTTATGTATTGATTATTTGACATAAACCTGTCAAATCTCATGTACCACTATCTTAATGTTTGCTTCAGCTCATATAGGCTCTTTTTGAGCTTACACATCAGATCTTCTTTACGTGTGATCATATATCTTGAGGTTGCATCATATAGAACTCTTCTTTAAGCACTTGAAGAAATGCAATCCTTACATTCATCTACACTAGATGTAAATCCTCCATTACTATCGTACTTGTCAATGACGAATGACGCACCACAGCGTAAAGTTTCCCGTAGAGCCATAATGCATAACGTACTACGCGGTGCACGCCATTTTAAACATGACGTACAATTAAATATCATTAAATTGCAAACAATAGATTGATTACAACAAAATTTAAGCATAAATATCCTGCCAAACAGTAAAAATGACAATTTTAAATCCATAAAATTGTACATCAATAGATTTGAGGAGGATTTAAACAATTTAACCTAAGTTTCGCCAAATAGCAAAAATGATAGCTTAAATCTTACAAAAAGTTAAATCCTTTAAATTTTTTGGTATTTTATTAATTTGATGTTTAATTAATTATAATTAATTGTGATATTAATATAGAAACCTTTAAAAAAAATAATTATAATTTATAATTTGAAATCTAAACGTCTTATCCCTATAAATCTTTAAATTGTAGGCATGTTTGGGAAGACATTTTGACCTAGCAGAGATGCTATTTTCTTGTATTCATATTTATATGTTTTGGCCAACTAGCATAAATTTGAGTGGAAATATCAATGTGCTATTAATATCAATTGCCCTCCATAAACTATGGCTAGAATCAGTCCATGCATGCCGCCTCATTGATTCATGTGCTCGTAGATATCACCTCAACAATAAGTGTGGGCTAATTTATTGTAATTAATTGTATAGTTAACTTTAGTTCCTGATTTTGTATACTCCATGTTAAGAAACTCTTTTCGGGCTGTATAAATATGGCCATAGGCTGGAATAAAACCCAAGTGATTTTGTGCACAACTTTCTTTGTAAAATATAAATGGACTAAAAATTTTGAGTAGGAAGCTAACTATGAACATTTACTAATAAACCAATACATTCAAGGTTTCAAGGCACTACAAATCACGAGAAATAATATTAGGAAGGGTTATATTAGGAGAACAACTTACTAGGGAGATGTGCATTTACATCCTCATAATTATGAATATTCTCCTCATTTATTATTATTATTATTTTTGTATTCATCCACTATGGCTATTTAAGGGCTTCTATATTCAATCAATAAGGCACAAAACCCTTCCTCAAGAATCTTGTGTTCTTGACAGTCTGTCAGTTTGTAATGAGGTTTACAACCTTTTTTTCACCGCATTTTAACATTGCATTGGTTTCATGTGTTCTAATATATATAACTTAGTGACATTGTATTATATGTGTTCATGCTAATTTGTTAAATCTGTCAATTTATATTATTGTTCATGCTTATTCCAAAAACATATTGTTTCTCGACGGCTTTCATGCTTTTTTTATTTTTGGCCTGCTCAGTATCCTTGTATCTTCATAGGGCTGATTTTGTTGCGTGAAGATAGAAAACATGGTTAAAAAAATGATAAATTTATATTTATTCATTTTTTCCTGAGATCAAAATTATCACATTTGAGTGTTTTTGAATGCGCATGTGGAGTTTAAACCCGCCATTAGTTTTTTTTGCTACGTCTAAACAAAATGATTAAACCTAGACATTTCACTGTTTTGTAATGTATTTTTCAACTAAGGAAAATGACCGGAGTTGCCCCTTGTTTTCTGTATAATATGTATGAAGTTGTGAACTCATGTTTCATTTTTATCCCTTTTCCCTGACAGGAGCTTGTTTACATCTTGGTATTTGCCGAAGCTTGAAAATGACTCCATGTTACTACAGCAGTTGACATTTCCTGTGGGGTATATGTAAGTCGATATTATACTAAATAATGCAAAGCATTTTTTTGCTTTGCTCTTATGGTCTCGTTTGTTCAGTTTTCTGCTGTAATAAACCGTTACAATCTCGTACGGTATTTTACCTTGGCTTTTATTTGACATCAATCTGCACCGGGGGTGCCCATGCCTGCAATATTATAGGCCATTTGGCCACTATGGAGGCATACTGGCTGAGAAAGACCCTTTGAACCTGAACAGGTTAATACCTGCGTAGGGAGTGTGCAAGTATTTCTTTTCTTTTCTTGCATGTTCAGGGTACTCTACCAACCTTTCCAGACAGCTGACTCCAAGCCGCTAAGCAATTTTGTTGCAGTTGGCCAGGCTTATTCATGGATGGGAAGTAACTTTATTTCCTTTATTTCATTATTAGTCTTTATTTTTCAATTATGATAGATGCAATAAATGTCTACAGAGCGGCACCACTAATTTTCTATGTCTACATCGTATGCTATTCTATTGGCAAATGCCCAGTAAGAAGTATATTTAAGATCTTTTAAAGCGTTACTAATGAATACAATAAAACTATTTACAAGTTAAACTAAACAACTTGTAGCAAATATGCTATGCATTTAGGTGTTCGATGCCATCACATCAGAGAGCACTGAAACATTAATCTAATCTTTATTCGATTCATATATCATAGATGCGTTCACTCCTTGGCTATAGTTTTTTTTGTACATCAGCATATTCTATTGTCTCTATTCAAAATATTTTCTAGTTCCTATCAAAGAGAGAACCTTGAGCTAGTCCTTTGTGCAGACCGAGATGCCCCTTTAGACCAGGATGAGAGAAATTTGTGCATAGAATATGCAGGTTACGGATGATTGTGTTTTCTTACTTCGGCATATGTATTTGTTGAGGTATTGGATCCAAATGTATCCATAGGTGATACTAGAACTCTACTAGCAAGTATAAAATAAGCCTAATAGAGAGATGTAGGAGGAAATGTACAAGGGTGAACTAGAGAGGAGTGAAATTGTTCTTAAGAGCTTAATGAAAATTGGATAAAATAGGAAAAAAATTAAGGAGTATTCAATAGAACCAGGAATAAAATTATTGTTCATTTTTGCTCCGAACACTCCAATAATGCATTAAAGAAGGCTAACTATCCAAAGGACAACTAGTGGAGTCACAACTATGAAGGATAAAAAAGGACAAAAAAAAAAAGACTATTTAAAGTAAAAAAATAAAATGGTTGAAAAAATTAAAAAGTTTTCTCCGTCATTGGAAGAAGTCAACTCTAAGTTTAGTTCAGCGTTAATGGTCCCATGTTGGGTGCCATTTTTGGATACTACAAAACTTGATTTTATTTTCATATGTGCCACAACTACTGATGATGAATCCCAAGATTAGCAACCAATTAACAATGATTTCTCAGCAATCAGAAATCATTTGAACTTTATCCTTCATAAAGAGACTTGTAGCTGGAGATATGTCAATGGTCTAGTAATGCAACCAAACATATAAGCCTGTGGGCTCCGAAAATTTTTGCGCCCCAGAATCTCAGCGCCAGCTACCTTTTTCTTTTTGTTGACACCTGAGAGTTTTAACGAGCTTAAGTTCCAGGTGAATTTTTCGAAGGCATATTAGGTTTTTAGATAAGAGACTACCCAGAGATTTCGCCCTCATTTTGTGAGGACTTTATGATCTGAGTCCCCTATATTTAATTATCCCTCTCGATAACGAGAGAGAACTCTAGATTAAGGATAGTCATTTAAGTAGGTTACAGTAATTACCTAGTGTATAATAGCAGTAATTTTAGGATATGAATTTGATTTTTATGATTTGGAACTTATTACCATAAACTTAAAATAGGTGATGGAGGAATGAAGACGCTTGATCAAGATCCAATGGTTCTGTTGTCCCGGACTGTCATGATCCTTGTTCTACTTAGTCAGAGGAGGTAGTCGACCCAACCTGACGAAAGGTACCTTAACAACAGTCATGGGTTGTGTCGTCCAAGGATACCTTGTAGACCTGCGGTGATGTTTATCTTAAGGGGATAGATTTGATTCCACCTTAGCTGACAAAGGGCTTTATGCCTATTGAGTATACCCTATGATTCATTACTTAAGGGTTTGACGCCATTAGGGAACATACGGGTTTAGACCGTAATTGTAATCTAATTGTGTTATTTTGCGGCAAAACTACCCGATCAGAGGGCGTGTGTCACATCCCTACTGGCAAGAGACTATTTGATAATGAATCTTAATGATACACCTGACATGACACTCTCTTTATGAGTTGAAGTTAATTTTAAATATATCATCCCCGACAAACAATTGCCGGAGTGGATGTATTTTTAGTTTTAAGTTTTTAGGTGATAGATTTCATTTTAGAGATTTAGATTTTTATTGGATTTTAGATTTGACCCCTTTGGTTAATATTTATATTCAACACGGTCATCATCACTTTTATTTTTGTAGGAATTTGGAAGTCATTTTATGATTCAAGTCAGGGTGACTCCAGTCCTTTCATATAGGACAATGAAACTTGAATATTTGACCCGCACTGTATTCTCGGATCGTTGGATTTAGGAATCAAATGTGATTATAAGAGCACATGCGGGATATATTTTCAAGTGTATTTCCAGTATTTTTGTAAGGATATAGGACTTCTATTTGCTTGTACAAGTAGGTTGCAGATCTCGTGGCTTGTAGGGAATGTTTATTCAATAGGCATTAGGAAATGATGTTCTGGCTTGTGAGTTACACCATTTGATACAAAACTCCTATTGCTGCTTACAGGCTAATTGTGTGTACTATCAATCCCTTGCTCCTGCTCATAGATGAACTATAGCATGCATTAGAAGTTCCCTGCTATTATCCCTAAACATACTGGTTTGTTTTGTACAAGCTTCTTGTCCATGTTGACTAAAAATTATCCGAATAAAGTGTACCTCGGTCTTGATAAGTTTGGATAACTCCTCTCTAGCAATGCTCTCCCGCGGAGTTAGGGCATTCCCGTTCCGCTCCGCTGGGCTTCTCCCAGCGGATTTTCTTTGGCGACCCTCGCCGGTGTCGTCTCTCTGGATTAAGGAAAGTTTTTCTTTGTTTCCTTTGGTTTTTTTGATACATTTTCGGTTGTTTTTCGTTTCATCCCCTTAGGCCATTCATGGCCTGAATGGCAGCAAATCGGGTCTTGGATCTTGGTTTTTTGGATGGATCCAACAAGTCGCGTTCTTTCTTGGATGCTTTATCTAGTTCTGCCTCTGATGTTTGTTTTTCGAAGATCAAAACGACTACCTTTAAGGGGTTTCCAGCTGTGTGGATCTTAGAAGAGTCCTTTCCGTCGCCCTAGCTTAGATTTCATCCGTAGGTTTTTTTCAACCTTAAGCTCACTACTGATTTCTTGGTTAGCTTGCTTGACTCCTCTTATGTGTTGATAAAATTGATGAGTGACTTGGATTATAGCAGGGTTTTTTTCCATAGATCTTATATTGTTTATAATTGTTACATGAAATTATCCAAATGGTTTCCCTTGATATTGGTGTTGAATCCTCTATTATTCCCATTTGGATTTCATTTCCTAACTTACGGCCTCATCTATTCTCTCCCCGAATTCTACACACTTTGGGCTTGTTGTTTGGCCGCCCGTTAAAAGTTGACTACGCCACCTCCGTTGGTTCTCGGCCTTCTCTTGCGCATGTCTTGGTAGAACTTGGCATCACTAAAAAGTATCCGGATAAAGTGTGACTCGGTCCTGATAAGTTTGATACATTCAGAGTGTTGAGATGGAGGCTTTCCCTCTATTTTGTGATCAATGTAAAGCTCTTGGGCATGTGAGGGTGGAGTGTCGTTCCCTGTCGTCTGTCCCGGTGAATGGTTCTGCTATTTCTAATATTCCTATTAAGAAGGTTGGGAATGAAATTGGTGTTGTGGAAAATATTGTTGTTGATGGAAATATTGATGTTGTTTCTTCTAAGGCTTTGTGTCCCGTTACGTCTTCTAAGGAGGTCCTCATTAGTGCAGGTATTGGGGTGGTTTTGATCTTGGGGTGGAGGCAGCTGGGGCTGTTGTTCATTCCACTGTTGTTGGTCTTATGGGGCCTTCCTTGGTTGCTTCTGATTGTGGGTCTCCTGTTGTTCCAGTTATTTCGGACGCTGATGCACTTGTAATGGAGAATTTGAATGTTTGTAATGTTAATATTGATATTCATGAGCTTGTGGTTTGTTTGGGCCCTCCAACTATTCTGGAGGGGGTTATTGTGCCTGCGGGTTCAATATTTTTTCTCCTACTATTATTGAGAAGTCACTTATTAGTTTTGTTTCTGGTGATAATCGGGTCGAAGAGGTTGAGGGTCACTGTGAAGTTAATCAGGTGGTAGATGTTGGATCCTCTGAGTTGGGTTTTACAGCTGAAAGTTCTCATGTGATTGATTTAAATTCGCCTATGGGGGCGCTTGCGATTGCTCATTTTGTTGATGTGTCGGTTTCTCTAATTTCCAATGAGGCGATGCATGCTCATTTGGCTAGCAAGTTCATTCTGATTGGTTGGATGTTTCCTCTTTTAGTGGGGAAGGGGAGGGGGAAGGTTTGGCTGACCCGACTGACAATTTGCATGAATTTTATAGTTTGCAGGTGGGTCATATTGTGGAAAATGCTTGTTCCTTGGGTGGGGGCAAGCATTGTCATAGGAAATCCAAATAATGGTGTCTTTTTGCTTATGTCTGGGTGCTAGTGGTTTCACTCGTGTTTGGATGGGAGTTTGGGATGCCTTGTTTTGGCTGTCTGGCATTTCGGCTTTGGGGTTGTGGAAGGCTTTCGTTGGTTTGGATGGTGGTGGTGAGATTTTTACCCTGGGAAATGATGAGGCGATTTTGCTCTCCATCTGATCGGCTAGGCTTGTTGGCAACCACTGGGGCGGCTGCTTGGTGATCTTCTTGTGGGTTGTCACTATGTTTGTCCATTTATGGGTTTCTTCGTTGTGGCCTGATGCTTGCTCCTTTTGGATGGTCCCTGCCTACTGATTGGGTGGTCGCAGATTTTCGCCACTAACTGAGCCCGGATTATTTGAGTTTTCTTTTATGATTGATTGTTTCCTCGAGGTTGTTTTCTTCTAGTTTGTGATGCTTAGTCCTCTTTTGGACTTGCTTGTACCTTTCCCTTTAATGAAATATTTTCTTAAAAAAAAAAGCTTCTAGTCCATGCCTGCAGGAAAATCATTGTGGGCACTAGGAATTCTCTGCTCCCATTTACAGGTGAATTGTAGTGTGTTGCTTACAAGTTTGTTAATATTTCTCGTATAACAACACATCAAATTACATTCATTACAAATCATTTGTTGTTGCCCGTAAGCGAGTGTGGCCTAGACAATTTCACAATTTCTTTGAGTATAAGATCTTAATGAATTTTGAGAATTATTAATTCTTCAAATCATCAAATTGTGATTTCTCTTTATTGTTAAACACATTTATATACTATGTTCGAAGCGTCATAATCAATTATGCATTGCTCACTAAGATTTTCTATAATTCTTATGATCTCTTCACA